AAGTATAAACAAGAAACTAATAAACTAATAGAAACAGTTACTCATAGGAGATGAGTTGGGAATTGAGTGAAAAGAATGGGGAATGAGAAAAGTATAAATATTGATATATGATACATAAATTTAAACTTTTTTATATATATGTGAAAAACCGTGAGTTGAAACTGACGCTCCTAATTCCAGTTTGCCATCAGAGTTCTTTCCAGCCTTTCCTTGTCCATGTATGTGACAGCTTTCTCTGCTAGTGAGAAATCATTCCTTTTTTCAACAATATTTTTACTTATTCACTAAATCCTGGAATACACCCTGAATACATGGAATACATCCATACTACTGTGGATGACAAAACTACTAACTGCAGCTCAATGCTTTTTTTGTAGTTGTTTTCTTTATGATGAAGGTATATACACAAAATATTGTGTTCACGAATTACTTGGGTTAGCTATTTTAATGTCTCCTTCAGTCTAATTGTGTTATTCATATAAAACGTAGTTCGGTTAATTTTTCTGTTATATTCTATTTTTTTTTTGTTTCCCATTATTTTTATTTATTTATTTTTGAGCAAGTAAAAGACAACCTGGTCAAAACATACAAATAGGTACACCCATCTCCCCATCCTCCCCATACATTCCCACCCAGCCCTTGTAGGAAAACAAACTCATTAGTTTCTGACTACTTCCTATGTTCCTTGTCACTCAAATGAGCAGATACATGTATATTTTCTTAATTCTCTTTTATTTTTACACAAAAAGTAGCATGATACAAATAGTCTTGGACACATTGCATTTTTATATTAACAATATATCCTAGAAATCATTCCATACCAATTCACAGAGATCTTTGTCACCTGGAGATTAATAATATAAGAGCTAAAATTATAAACTATAAAAGTAGAATTTATTAATTGCTCTAGATAATGGACTCGTGTGAATTAATTAACTTTAGTTATTAACAACTTAACAAGGAATATTCTTTAAAAGTTTAGATACTTCATCTGCAGATTTGAAGGAAGTTTACCCAAATAAGATAAGAAGGTAGAGAAAGGAAGGGCCAGAGGCGTGGGAATAGTCATTGACAGGTTGGAGAGGGTGCCTCATTGTAGCAGAGACTCCTCTGCAACAGGAATGACCTACAAAGATGATTGCAATCTCTCATGTGAATTTAGACAAACAATGGGCATCCTGGTCCAAATACCATGCCCAGTGTGGTATAATGACTGGGGTTATAGAGTTAAAAAAAAAAAGACTCTCTCAAACATTTCACACCTGGAGACTTATCCCAATGGAGCAAGACATGAGCTTGAATTCAAAGGCAGAACGCCAATTTTTTTTTGCAAGGAAAACTGAATAACAGTGTTGGGCTGAGGTCTAGGTATAATGTTTACTCAATAAGGTACTAGAAATAGAAACTTAGAATGAGGGTCTAAACAAGGAAATAAAGTAAAACCTCATTTTAAAACAGTAATGGCACTGTGGGAATGTGGGGGATTACGGGACAGATGCTGCAAATGGGATTACATCACAGGAACACAAAACCAGGGTACTGGACCCAAATCAATTTAACTGTAAAGATGACACACAACTGTCCATTTTTGAAAGGGGATTAGAGATGACTCAGTCTGTTAGTTGTGACCCATTTCATAATTGGAGTGAACTCTAAAAAGGGAGGAACTGGCGAAAGCAGTGTTCAGTCTGCCAAAGTGTGAGTTTGCTGGTGAAGAAATAACAAGGGAAAATTGAGGCAGGATTGACAAATGTCTAACTCCTGCCATCGTCTTGCATTCTCTTGAACTGACTATGAAGTTACGGTAACTCCATACAATTTCTGCTTTCAGAATGTCTTTTTTCCTGTTTTTAAAGTACATAGAATGTCATTGGAAGATTTCACTTCTTTTTTTCCAATTTTTATGACTTTAATTGATGTCATCACTCTAGTTGCATTGGCTAATATTTTCATCACAATGTTGATTAGTGAGCATTCTCGTTTTGATCTTGATCTTAAAAGAAATGCCTCTAATGATTCCCTATTACATAAGATGTTGGTTGTACCACTAATGAATATAGATTTTATTTTCTATAATAATATACATAATATAATATATAATATATTTTACATTAAATAAATATGATATATAAACATTTTATTATGTATAATATACATAATATAGCACTATACATGACACAAATATATTTATATATCATATATATTTCATGTAATATATACTTTATTAAGAGAGGATCCACCGATTCTTTTCTATTGAGTATTATCAAATTCTGTTGAAGTCTTCTTCAGCATCTATGGAGAGAGTTAGAGGATTTTTAAGCTAAGATTTATTATATGTTGTATTATATTAAGAACTTCCTAATAAAGAACTAACTTTAAATTCCTGGGAAAATCCCACTTGGTTATGTATATTATTTTATTAATGTGTTGTTAGATTTTATTGGCTGATATTTTATTGACTTGTTTGCATGAATAGTCACAAGTATTATCAACTTGAAATTTTATTTTTGAACTTCTTCATCATGCTTATGCATCAATGTTTTATTTGCTTCATCCACAAAACAAATTAAGATATTTTCCTTTATTTTCAATGCTCTGGGACAATTCACACAACATTCAGACTATTAAGTCTTTGACCATTAATAAAATTCCCCATGAAATCCTATGGCCCTGGTTCTATTTTATGGTGTAGTTGCTTAATAGCTTTCTCCATTTATTCTACAGAAATTTATGTGTTTAATCTTTCTACATCATAAGGAGTCAATTTTGGTAATATTTATTTCTGTGTAAAATTAACAAATTCACTTGAGTTTCTATATTTATTTTTACAGAAGTGTTTCACAGAATAAACCTTAGGATTATTCAGAATCACCAAAGGGTATTGTTATTATTGGTGTTTTTAGTTCAGTCAATATTTGTTTTTATATTTACCAATATTATGAATATCTCTGAATTTTCAAGTTTCTCCCATAATCATTTTCCTTCTGCCAAAAGAATTCCCCTTTGTGTTTCTGTTACTAAAGATCTGTTGGCAAATTTTATTTTAGTTTTTGTTTTTCTGAAAATAACTTTATTTCACTTTCAATTTTGAAGGATATGTTTGCTGATGTAGTATTCTAGGTCGGCAGAATTTTTTTGAATTTTTCCCTCTAGTAAAGGTGTCACTCCTTTGTCTTCTGATTTCCTTCAATCTTTTGTTGCTGCTTTTGTTACAAAGTCAGCTCTCATTCTTATTAGGGTTTATTTGAGTGTGAGGCTTGTGTAAATACACTCACTTATCCTTCGGGATCCTCAGCTCTCCCTCAAAAACTTGGTTGCGTTTACTCTCCCAGCTCCTCTAGCTTCTGAGCACCCTAGGTAGGCCTTAATAACTCAGCAGCACATTATACTCATCACCCACACCTGTGTCCAACAAAGAGCCCTCCCCCCGCCGCCCCCCGGTTGATGGATTTGGCCAGGACCTGCTGGTAAATGTTTGAGAATAGTACAAGAAGAAAGAAGACATTTGTTAGGTGAGTTAGGGTGTCAGCAAAAGACAGAACACATTAGAGAGGAAAGAAAAAAACAAGTAGGAAAAATAGCAGAATCTCCTCACCAAGACAAAGTCATTCTTTATATATATATATATTTATTTATACCTATATATATATATTTATACCTTGACATTCATTATATTTATTTTGTCACATCCACTCAGAATTGTTTGTTACATTTCCTCCTTCCTGCCTTTTTCTAATACTGGATAATACTGTGTAACATGCATACACTGTGTGTAAATCTGACATGTTTCACCTAACAAGTTTTTGCATGTGTATACATTCACTGTAACTACCACCTGGATCAAGATATAGAAAATTTCTTGCACCCCAGACGGTTTCCTCATATTACTCTCTTAGAAGTAATTAAATATTGAATAGAACAACAAACTTCCAAAGTGCCATCATTTCTACATGTTTATTAAAGGTAGACAAACTCATATGGACTCATACTTTTAAGGAAATTAAGTTAGAAGTCATTGAAAGTTTATTGTGAGAATGTTAGCTTTATAAAATTGGAAATTTGATTTATATAAGCAAAATTTTCTGTGATACTCTTTTCATTTCCTCCTTATCTTGACCCTGGGAAGCCAAGGGAAGAAACGCAGGATTCTCTTAGAGATGATAGGACTGGAGGAGCTTCCTTCCTCACTCTTGCCTGTTGGAACCCTCAGTGCCCCCCTATCCTCACCAAGCCCTATGCATGTTGGAATAAAGCATAATATATTCTAAAAATTGCTTAAAAATGTTAGAATCATTGAAGTCAGTCTGGGTAATGAAAGCTTGTTTATGTCAGCAGAGAGGGATAAGGAATGTCCAAACTCCCTGAGCTGTGTGTGCAGGCCAGATTCGACTGGACACTCAGAATGTGTGTCCAGGTTTAATAGTTTCCTTGTTCATTTGGATATCTAATTGTTATAGATTTAGTGATTGTAAGTTAAAAAACTTAACCGTATTAACAAATTTTTCTAGGGCATATATCATATGTCTGTTCCTCAGGCTATAGATGAAGGGGTTCAGCATGGGTGCAACTACCATATACATCACAGAAGCAATTATGTCTTTATCATTGCAGATGGATGGTGAGGAGAAAAAGTAAACACCTGCAATTGTCCCGTAGTATAAAGAGACCACAAAGAGATGGGAGCCACATGTAGAAAAGGCTTTGCAGAATCGCTTGGTGGAGGGAACCCGCAGGACAGTAGTCCCTATTTGGATATAAGAGACCAAGACACTACTCAAAGGCAGGATTATAATCATTCCTCCCTCAGTGAAGATGACCAGCTCATTGAGGGAGATGTCGGAGCAGCTCATCTTCAGGAGTGTAGGGAGGTCACAGAAGAAGTGGGGGATGGTATTGTGAGCACAGAAGGACAGTTGGACCAAGAGGAGGGTGTGCAACAGGGCATGTGCACAAGAGAAGAACCAGGACCCAGCTACTATCGAGATACACAGCTCCTGCCTCATGAGGGTGGTGTAGTGGAGTGGCTGACAGATGGCTACATACCTGTCATATGCCATCACTGCAAGAAGGAAATTGTCAAGACAACCAAACAGTATGAAAAAATACATCTGAAAAATGCACCCAATGAAGGGGATGGACTTGCGATTAGTGTGCATGTCCATCAACATTTTAGGGACAGTGACAGATGAGAAACAGACATGAGTGAAGGCCAAGTGGCTGAGGAAAAAGTACATGGGTGTGTGGAGGCGAGAGTCCAGCCTGATGAGCAAGATGATGAGCAGGTTCCCCAGCACTGTTGTCAGGTACATGCTCAGGAACAGGGTGAAGAACATGCCCTGCTGCTCTGGTAGGATGGGGAGCCCAAGAAGGAGGAATTCTGACACATTGGTCAGCTTCTCCATCCTCATTCTGCTTTCTTCAGGAAATAAAGGAAAGTGGGAAAAGTCAGGAACCTAGAATTACCCATGACATTAAAGCTATGTCCTTTTTAATGAGAATGAGTGCTTTTAAAGTAGACATCTGTTTATTTCTCATGCCTGTTGATCAATGAATCACAAGTCTGTCCCATTCAGCCTCCATTGATACATCACAACCTCAATATCTAACAAGATTTCTTCCCATTGAAACCAAAAGACATCTTTTCCTTTATTCCACAAATATGTGTTGAACAACAGCCTTGTCCCAGGTCCTACGTAAAACACAAGTACATAATAGCTAACAAGAAATGCAAAGTCTCTACACTCAAGGAGTTTATATATTCATATCAAGCCAGGTCAAACCTCAGTTATTGACTATGGTAAAACATGAGATGGACACTAGGAGACAGGTATCAGCCATTTCCTCTTAAAAAAGATGTGAAAATCTCTAAATTTGAATAGAATAACTATGCATTATTGCAGGCTTACAGAGGACTTGGCTAGATCCTAACTAATCAGAGATACTTAATGTTCCCTGTCACCAGGGAACTGGCTATGATATGCAATTTCTGTTTAAATTGTCACCATACCATAATGAGTTATTTTTCTAACCATTTTAACTATGAGAAACAAAAGGATGCATTATTCAAATGTGCAGAGATACATTACTCATAAGTAAAACAGCTGAAATCATGACATATATCTGACCAGAATCCATCTCTTAATCTCTCTACACAGATGTCATTCCCCTCATTAGAATAAGAAACATGCTGTGTGATGTCAGCTACCTTTGCCCAGAAGAGTCACCAATCGTATTTATACATCATACCATGTACAGAAGGTTTACACACATGGAAATATATATGTAGAGACTGTGTGGTACATAAGGGAAATACTATGTCCTTCATTTCATAGATGTGAAACATCTCAGACCAATGAGATAAATGGCCAACTGGAGGTCACTCAGCTGTTTGACGTGGGTTCCAGATTTAATATCTCTTTGAAACTTAAGTTAGAGTTAAGGATTACCAACCACACACCCCTAAGGAGGGAATCAAGACTTACATTTTCCTCAAGTGTAGGAGCAGGACAGCGAGTATTCTTCATGGACCACGAACTTGCTCAGGGGCACTGGTTCTTTCCATTCACGGCCACAAATGAGGACAGTCACTGGCCGTTATGGGGAGGCCTGGCTGCTCACTGACACATGCTGTGTGAGTCACCACTGAGAAACCAAAAGAAAACAGGAGGGCCAGAACCAACTAGGAATCTTGATTTAGACAGAACCTTGTGAAGGAGACAGCTGGGCCGTGAGCTATGGAAATGACATCATGCGTGATGTTGAAGTATGAGAAGGAGCCTTTGGATGGGCCAGTTTTCCTTGACTTCTACTTGTCCTGCCCCAAAAGATGGTAAATAAGGAACCTCCATGACGCAAACATCGGGTTTGGAGAAAGATAACAAAAATACCTCCTTTTAACTGAGCATCAGTTATGTGCCAAGCATGGTGCTGAATGATTTGTATGCATTGTCTCAGTTAATACTCAAAATAGCATTGTGAATTATGAATAGTTACTCCTCCTTTTCCAGTGAGGAATTTGAACCTCATAGAGCTGAAGTCACTTCCCAAAGTCACAAAAACATGCAAGGACCACACCAAGGATCGAGCTCCAGTCTGACATATTGCAGACAATGAGCTCATGTCCATTAGTGTATAACACCTGCCCAGTGGTGGAAATGCACATGGTAATGCATTACTGCATTATCAATGCTGTAATATGGCCACTGTGGAAAGACAGCTAAGGAAACATGATTTCAGATAGGCAAAGCAGAAGCCCTTAAATAACGGCCAGGAAACACACACGCATACATGCATTTAAATGGCTGATTTGTGATTTCTTGCCACCTGTGACCTATATCAATGCTAAGTAAGAGACCATAATTCTGTAGTTTATTTACCCACACACTGGAACACAAATCACAAATAATACCGCAGATTGGGCACACAACATAGAAATAAACCATGCAACCACAACAAACACAAAAATGTGCACAGTACAACACAAACATGAAACACCCAGTAACAACTAAATCATATATCACATGTATATAACTCATATTCTGATTCTAGACTGACATATGCAAGCACACACACACACACAAAACACAAAGTCCCACACATCACACAAAAAACACACCAGAAACACAGCACTGCACACACATACCTCTTTGAGTCAAGCAACAAACAACACACATGGTCACACATACATGTACACACTCATTGCAGAATGAGAGGTTCCAGCCCCATTAACCTACACTCAACGTAGGCAAAGGTGGTCAGTTAGTGAGGCACTTGGGCCCCATTACTCAAAGGACCACCACACAAATACCACCTGCAAACAAAACATCATCAAACACAGACACACAATGCACACTCTAAAAACAAGGACTCACGCATGACTGTAACTCATAAACAAAATGCAAATCACACACCCACCTCACCGAGTGGAGATGTCAAGCCTTCTCCCCATGCTGGTCATGGGTGACATCAGAAACCATCTTTTCCAGAGTAGGGAGCACGTTTGTCTCTCTTCAAACTCTACAGTCTCATTCATTTAACTGTGACGTCTGTCCAAAGAAGAAAATGTGGGAGTTACTGAAGGAGAGTGTGGCAAATATTTAAGATCAAAGGACTGATTAGGGGACCCAAAAATCACACTATGAAATTGTCTGCATTTATTACTGGGGACTTATTTGCTGCTGTGTGCTCTGGGCCAGAGAGGAAAACAATCAAGTTGTGAGTCATTTACATCTCTTTCTCTCATATATATATATATTACCCACATATACCCACATTACAAGAGCAATGAAACACCACACAGACCCGTGTGGAATACATAGCAGACATCTAGACACAGAGACACATATCGCCAACCTAGAATTCCTAGGTCACTCTGACCTGTGCCCGTCCTTGTTGAGCTCAGGAACCTTCTAACCAGTTTCTTGAGTCCTCAGCTTCTGTCAAGAATACCAGGAACAAAAATGTAAGAGGAAAGCCTCTGTGAGCCCACGATCTCCTGAGCTGTCTGTGTCTGTCCTTGAGCTCCAGAGCCACAGGCAGGAAGATACCATCTTATAAACCACAGAAAGGCATCAGAAAAAGTCCCGAAGCTCCTGGTTAAGGAAAAAATCAGAATACACTAGTTGCCTCTAATTCCTATCAGAACTGTGGGAGGAGCCTGTGCAGATGCTGGAGGGACTGAGCTGTGGGAGTCCCCTGAGAAAGTGCCCTTGATATCAGGGACACCCTGGGCTCCTCCCTACATTCTCATAGTTCCAGCTAGGAAGCAGGAATGGTTTAGTTATCCTACAACGCCAGTGTTGCTAATGCATTGGTCAGACAGGACTGGATGCTGGGCTCTGCCAGTCTTTCATTGCTGGCCCTGAACAAGTAAAATTATATCTATCAGCCTTGTTTCATCAGCTTTAAAGTGCAGATAATAGTAGTATTATCATTATGAAGTTATTATTAAGATTAAATGAGATGATGCATGCTAAACCACATAATAAATACACAATTAATGTCAGCTCTAAGTATCATTACCTTTGTATATTCTAATAAAAGATAAATGTATCTATAATCATTGATGTTGATATAGTATTGAGAGTGAATGAAAGCCTCAGTTAATTGACTAATAAATTCATCAAAACTTATAAAGACCTACTTCCTTCCTGAGAAAGACCTAAGCTGTCCCCTCAAAATAATACAACTATGTGATACAAATTTCAATAGATCAGCCGATCTAAGTTTACTACCTTTGTGTTTAACACGTGTTAACAGACACTCCCCACAGGCTGGATAGATGTTGGCTCCTCTCAAACCTTCAGAAAGTGGCCATTTATACATGTTCCTGCTCAAGTTTCCCTCTAACACACCTCGCTCACTTCAGCCCCTACACTAAGTTTTTATCACACATAACAATCTGCCCTACAATTTGGGACACAGTTCTTTCCCATGTCCCCCAAAATTAAAGCACGTTTAGGACAGAGGTTGTGTAATTTACTTCTCCACTCTCTTCAACCATTCAGAGCCTAGCACAGGTCTGGAAACACAGTAGGGGCTCCTTATATCTCAGATTCTGAAACCCAGCCTCTTTCATCCATACAAAAAGACCGCTGAAGTCTCCCTAAAACTAATACCTTGTCCGCAGACACTTTTCTTTCTCCATGTTTTAACTCTTGGGTCAGGAAATGAGGCAGCTAATAGAGATAAAGGATTTCCTTAGTTCAAGCCTCTGTACTACTTATTTACATAGAACCTGACCAATTCATTAAAGGTAATTTAGTCAAGTGGCCAATTCTACAAGTGATCATCTAACAATGCTAAAAGACAGGAAAAGTAAAAAATTAACTAGGAAATAATAATTGCAACGTAATTTTTCTACCAATTACTAAGCATAATGAATTGGAAATATTTTTGCCACAAAACGTTTGATAAAATTCACCAGTGAAGTGAACTGTGCCTAGAGATTTCTTTAGGAGAAAATTTTAATTAAAAATTAAATTTCTGTAATTGATATAGGACTATTCAAGTTAACTATCATATTATTTTTCTTTTTTTTCCTTTATGTGTATGTAATTGAGACAATAAACAGCAGATATTTAAAATACACAATTTTGTTGTTTACAATTGCAACAAAAATAATAAAATATCTAGGAATAGATTTAACTGACTTGTTGAAAGACCTATACACTTAAAACTATAAGACTACTAAAAGAAATTGTAGAAGACATAAAGAAATGGGAAGATAGGGGGACGGTGTCAAGAGGACAGCATAAGCAGACTCTGAACTCACCTCCTCACATGGACACAACAAATTTACAACTACTCATAGAACAATTACCCCTGAGAGAGAACTGAAAACTGGATAAAAAGAACCCCTGCAACAAGGGGCAGTGCTGACTGAGGTGGAAGAGGTAGAAATTCCTTTCTAG